ATTTCTTATCTAGACTGACCTTTTGTTAATCACATGACAATCAAAATGTGGTTTCAGGGGACAGACTTAAAAGAAAATTGTGCACTGACATCCTAACTGTCACGCCCTCTGCAGCCAGAGGGCGCTCCTTCTCTGTCCTGTCTCTCATTTTCTTGTTCTTTGCTGTCCTGCTGGTGTTTCTCTCTCTCTGGGGCTATATATTTCCGGGTCTTTCAGTCTGCCTTTGCTCAGCATTGACGTTTGGATGTCCTGAGACCCGCCTAGCACCAGGTCGCCCCACGTCCACTACCTGAGGGCATAGGCATTTCCTGAACAGCTGAGCCCGGGCTTACCCCCATCTCACCACTACGCATAGGGTCTGTCTGCTTTCCTGCCATTCTACGGTTCGTCCTTTCCGACATCCATGACACTAACATGATGGTAAAGGTAATAGATATGGTCACGATGCAGGTTTGAAGGAGCCACGGCAAATGCTTGTAAAAGTTGATGCCCCGTGTGAGGGGGCAGAGAACTGGCATGAGGTCAGCTTGGAAGGTTTAAAGAAAGAAAAACAAAAATGCCGCTTTACAGTGGGGACCAGGCTAAAAAAAAAAGAAAAAGGAAAGAAAAAAATGTAATAATTTGGATTTGAAGAAGTCGCTTCAGACTGGACTAGAAAGAGGGGGGTCTGCGATGGAGAAAACAAAAGCACTGGGATTATTGAAAGGGGGACTAACTGAGTTTTGGAAAAAAATTGTAAAAAATACTCCACTATGTCACAGCATGATAAGGTTAGCTAAAATCTCTATTTATAACATGTCTAAATTACATATGATGTGCTGAGTGCTCTTGTGGTTGCAGGTGCGTCCCCCAGGCTGGCCATGCTGCAGGACTTGGAGCAGAGAGTCCAACAACTGGCATCCAGCTCCGTGATCCTGGGTCTCAGTGCAGGCTTGGTTAGGGAGCTCATTACAGACAGGAGTCAGATCCTAAACAGCCTGTTGGAATCCCAGATGTCCAAGCTGTATGTGAGCGACCAACCAGCAGCACCTGATATCAGTCAGGCCAGAGAGAGGCTGCAGGCCCTGAGGGAGAGTATGGACAGGAATGAGGAGAGCCGGGGAGCAAGGGTACATAGGCCCCTGCAGCAGTTTGTGCAGAAGGAATGGGACAGCATCATCTCTGTTGTGTCTTCTATGCTATCTGAGCTTAGCCAATCAAGTGGCTGTAACAAGACATTGAGCTCCTGGGATTCCTCTCAAACACTGTTCTTGTTGCATCAGTTGGAGTCCCAGGCAAAGCTGCTAGGAGCCTACCTTTGGGAGGAGACACCCCCTGCAGTCTACCACCTTTCTGCCTTCCAGAATCCTAAGGGTTTCTTGGTGGCTGTGTTGCAAGAGCAAGCCCGAGCTGAACAGAGGGACATCAGCAATTTTTCCCTGCAGTACCAGGTAAGACTAATTTGCCACCCACTTCCACAACGAACCTCTGAAAACACAGGACCTATACTACAAAACCAGAAAAGGAAAACTCTTAACCATTTTTTACCCTTGGTTATATAAACATTTTCACAACAATTACGTATTTAAGTCCAGTGAAATTTATTACCAGAAATCCATGCTGTAATGAAGGCAACAGATTAATCTCTTTCATGCAAAGATGAGGTTAACTAAAATATTAGATTCATATCTTGAATTTAATTTAGCAACAAAAAATAGTGCATTTATACTTAAACTGGAATCAGATCAGTGTATTCTAATATGGAATCAGAAAATGTTTCCATTTCGTTCTAACATTATTGCAAGGATTCACAACCCAGGTCCATTAGAAACAATACAGGCAGTCTTCCAGATCACCCTTAAATCACCAGTTTATATAAATTTAAACAGAGCAGCTACAATGGTCACTATTAAACAGTTCTAACTATTTATAAATAGATGACTTACAAGAGTCCTTTAAAATATAATGGGGCCCATCAGGCTAGCAACCATTTTGATAGTTAGAACAAAACAATTCTAGTGTAGGAAAGTGTGGCAGATCCTCCTTAAATGGTAGCATGTTATCGAACAGCAAATTAATCCCCTATAGTAGGGTCTTTGCACCCTACTTATTGCAACCTGATAAAAGGGGGAGTAACAAAGTTAAGGATAAATTTGGATCAACCTTGGTTTAATAAAACCTGTCCCACTTAGTCCCTAACCTTCTGCTTATTCCCTTTATGTCTAAACCTAATGACTGTGACCTGTACATGTCCTTTCCTAGCTTAACCTTGGAAAGGGAGAGTGAACTATGCTTCTTTAAGTCATTTTATAGTGGGGTGAGAATTTGTTTGTCAAAATTCCCTGACAGCACCAAATTTGCCGAACATCATCTACAGCTCATTACATGTGCAATGTATTGGTGCACCTCCAACAGCCAAACTACATCAGAGGTAAATAGATTCTGAAAGAAAAGGTTAATCTACTGGACCCTCGGGTACAGGAAAAAGCGAATAGCAAGCCTCCTGAAAAGGGGGACCAAAGTGGTTAAAGGACAGTCTTGAGGTTGCAACGTTTGCGCAGAGTAAGTGCTGTCAGCAGAAATATGTAAAAAGTGAATACAGCAGTGCCAGTGAAAACCTGGGGTGAAGTGAAAAAATGCCAAAGACCCATCAAAGTGGCTCCTCAGCTTTAAATAGAAAATTAGGAATTGAATAATAAGCTAAGTAACTAAACACTGATCCAGTCAGAAAAGCAAACCCTGGAAAACCATGAGCCCTTGTTAGAATGTGACGGTTTCCCAGGGCAACCGTTGGCCGAAGGAAACTATCATGACAATATCAGTGCAAAATGGATGGCAAGAGCTTAAACAGATTCTGCTTAAGGCACAGAACACGTTTATCCCAATACTAAGCAAATCAAAACCTAGAACACCTTATCTCACAAAGTTCAACAAATTACAAAATGTAAAAAGGAAAATAAGCACTTTGTGAAGTGATTAAAAATAACAGGACCCTGTTAAAGAAAAAGTGTACAGTGAATTGTGAACACTGGTTAAAAAGAATAATAGAAAGGCCAAGAGAGATAGAATAGAAAGGGTTATTGCAATGGTGACTGAAACACATAAAAAGTTCAATACTGCAACAGTAAAGGAGCATTAAGGATTAAGTAAAACATATCCGATGACAAACTTTTAGATGATAAAAGGGGAATTGCAGATATACTGAGTATTAAACTCAGGTACTCACTAAGGAATAAGTAGACAATATGCCTCATGCAGAAGAAGGAAGTTCTTTAATAAACATCATTGGCATAGGAGAAATAGATGTATTTCAGGGATGGAAGTACTAAGGATGAATACATCTCCAGGATCTTACCAACTGTACTCAAGGAAACAAGAGTCAATGAAAGCATTGATAAAACGCTTATTTGCTTTGCTTTCACTCAAGAAAAGGCTGGAAGAGATCTTTGGATCAATTAACAACTAACTACAGTAAATATAAAAAGTCTACACACCCTTATTGAAATTGCAGGTTTTTGTGATGTAAAGCCAAAAATCAAGATAAATCATGTCAGCCATTTTTCCATCTTTAATTTGACCTTAAACAAAACAAATAGATAATTATTAGGAAAAATAATTGAAATTACAAAACCTACAACACCCTGGTTGAACTTTTATAATGGAGGCTGTAGCTGTGTTCAGAGTTAGTCAATCACATTCAAAATCATGTCCAAAGGTAAGTAACATGCACCTGCCATCAATGGAAGTGATTCTGATTAAAAGAATAAAAATCAGCTGTTCCTGTAGGATTTCCTTGAAATTTTCGCAGTTGCATCCTACTGGGATACTCATGGTCTGCAAGGAGCTGACAAAACACCTACGGGATCTTATTGTTGAAAGGCACTGATCAGGAGAGGGGTATAAAAGAATATCAAAGGTATTGACTGTACCATGGAGCACTGTGAAGACTATCATCAATAAGTGGAGACACGGACATTGCCAAGATCAGGACAACCCTCCAAAGTTGATGACAGGACAAAGAGAAAACTTATCAGGGAGGCAACCAAGAGGCCTACAGCAACATTAAAGGAACTGCAGGAATTTTTGGCAGGTACTGGTCACTCCTTGCATGTGACAACAATCTTCTGTATTCTGTTCGTCTGGGCTATGGGGTAGGGTGGCAAGAGCATTTCTCACAAAAGAAGAACATCCAAGCCCATCCAAATTTTGCAAAAAAAAAAATACATCCAATCACCCCAAACCATGTGGGAAAATGTCTTATGGTCTGATGATACAAAGATTTTGGCCTTAATTCTAAAAGATATGTTTGGCCCAAAGACAACACAGCTTCTTGTTGTCATGTTGTCCAAAGAACATCATGCCTATTGTAAAGCATGATAGTGGCACCATCATGCTTTGGGGCTGCTTCTCTTCAGCTGGGAAAGGGGTTCTAGTCAAGATAGATGGGATAATGACTTGCTCCAAATATCAAGATATTTTGGCACAAAACCTGACAGCAGGCCTCTGTCAGAAAGCTGAATATGAAGAGGTATTTCACCTTCCAATATAATGACCCAAAGCACACATCCAAGGAATGGCTTCAGAAAAGGAAGATCAAAGTCTTGGAACAGCCCAGTCAGAGCCCAGACCTCAATCCCATAGAAAATCTGTGGAATGACCTAAAGAGGGTTGGCAGATCCCCTGGCAATTTGAAGGAGCTTGCAATGTCCAGGTGTGCAAAGTTGATAGAGACTTATTCAGAAAGACTTACTGCTGTAATAAATGCAAAAGGTGCTTCCAAAAAGTATAAGTTGGGGGGGGGGGTGCACACTTATGCAACCAGGTTGTAGGTTTTTTAATTTGAATTATTTTTCCTAATAATTATTTGTTTTTCTCTTGAATTTTGTTGGTTGCAAGGTTACATTAAAGATGGAAAAATGTCTGAGATGATTTATCTTGATTTCTGGCTTTTATTTAGAAAAAACCTGCAGTTTCAATAAGGATATGTAGACTTTTTTATATCCACTGTACCAAATTAAAAGGCCTCCTCTCATTTGTAATATTTACCTTACGTTCTTATCCTATGAGAAGCATTTTAGTCTAAGTCAGGGCTCAACCGCCAGCCTTCCCTTGGCTGTCGGCTACCCTTGTTCTTCCCAGACCAATAACCCTTAAATCTCACAGTGACTAGCCTCCCTCCATAATTAGACAGTTACACAAATTCTCCTGTGTTTTTACCTATCAAGAGAACTAATTGCAATCAACCACAGCGATTTTTATCACAACAAAATGCATTATTTTCTAAAATTGTCTCTAAGACACACACCCAAAACACAAACTGGAACATACAGCTTGGAGAGACATGTTCCAGTTAAAAAAACATGGAGTGCATTTCATCTTTAATTTGATAGTTTATTATGAGTCCTTGCAGGTTGAGTGCTGTAAAATATAGTCTGAATAACAGAAAGCTAAACATCTTCAGTAACCTCAACTGCTATCCCTGTAAACTCTCCAACTGGTAGGTGCACAATGTCAAAAGATAAGTGGTCAGTATAGACAATAAAAGAGTTGAGGAGCATTTTTAAATGGGATTACCTGAAACACAAGAAAACTTGCATTGTCTATATATGTCCTTTACAATCTGCTATTTTTTGTATAGGTCCTCAAAACCAGTGCCATTCCGTCATCTCCGCCACACAGCGGTATCTACATCACAGGCCTAGAGCTGCACGGTGCACTGTGGGATACACGTCTGGGTGCTGTCCAGGAGACACTGTCCATCCAGCCATGCCAGCTGCCGGTGGTGTGGGTCAGAGCCACAGCAGACATCACCACAGCAACCAGCAGCCCTTCCTCTTTTCCCCTGTACCTCTGCCCTGTGTACAAGGACTTGATCCCTGGGGATCTCATGGACACGGACAAAATCACTTACATCCCCCTGGTAGCCAAGCTTCCCCCCACCCTCTGCAAGATAAGACGAGTTAGAATCATAATCAGGCAACTGACCACAGACCTTTAAATAACAGCATCTTTTACTGAAATAATCTAGGCTAAATAATTGTTTTTAATATAAAACAAATGACCTTTCAATAAACTTGGTATACAGTGAAATTTAGGAACAATTTTGAAAAAGTATTGAATCTAACATTACATTTATAGAATGTCTCTTGGCTCACACATTTACACAGGTATTTCATCGATTACATATGTTACTATTTAGGATTAGCCCTTTTCCACATTTCACAATTAGATATATACACACATACACATTTAAATGGTTTTCATATCTAAAATAAATATTACTTTGAAAATACCTGTAAACTGTAGTCACCTTCCAATCAAGTATTATGGCTACATTAGTAATCCATCAATTGACAAGATACATTTATTATTAAAGATCACAGTCTTATAAACGTGATAGTTCAATGTCTCTCTGTGCTGTAAGTATCACTAAGACATATACCGAGAATCCCATCCATTAGGGGCTTTGTGTCCACTGTAGTTAACTGGGGGGGGTGCCCATTTTGAGCCACTTTGAAGCCCATTTGGTTTCCAAACTACACTGTCAATTGTCTTTCTTCATCTCTTCTTGTACATGCAGGGCTTTAGTTCCAGACCTGCTGTATGGCTTTTCCCTTCAGATTCCGTTGTCTTGATTAACTCAAAAGTGTAGAAATAACAGTAACTAGTGTCCTAAAAAAACAGAAAAAGAGAACACATCAGATTATAATTAAAGGCAGAGCAATTACAAAATGTACAATTGTGCGACTTAAGCTTAGAGACTGTTTTTTGGAATAGTCAGTTACATCTCTTCTCATCAACCCCTGTAAACAGAACTCTGTATTGTTAATCACATTGGATTTCAGTAAAATCTAAATAAAATTAAAAATATTCAGTATGTATTCAATAATCAAGGTAATCAAATCAATGAATTATTTACAAACAGTACAGCACTGATAACAGAATTTCTGTTTCACATCGGTTTTCTTGGCTTTATCACACACCGGTTTGAATGAAGACTGTATAAACACCCTTTTGAAACCCTAAAACCTCTGTCTATCTGGCATTTTTCACAATTTAGGTCTCATAATGTACACTATAAAGTTCAGCATCTGTTGGACAAGTACCAACAGATTCAGAGTTGGGAATCACCTTTGACTGCAAACTCTAACTGCAAACTCACAGGCACTGTATTGTATGGCAGACCAAAGTTACCATTTCTGACTCCTGACCACCTTAACTGTTTAATCAACAGCATGCAGCCACTTTTGATGAATTCCTATGACAGCTAGGTAGCTCATAACCAATCAGTATTATCAGAGTGAAGCCTGAACCCTGTAGCTCAGTGTAAGTACATTGACATATGATTGATTCAGAATCCCTATCATGGGACATGCATATGTCATAGATAATTGTAGTTGTGGTTCTACATTAACATTAGTAATTACACTAATTAATTAGCACAGTGGTTCTAAACTTTTTGGACCAAGTACCACCCCTGATCAAACCAAAGAATTCAAGTACCACCTACAAGTCATCTTCCCATAGGAACCACAGAAAATCTCAATGACCAACTTGAGTGTGCACGCACACTCTCACATACACACAGAATAAAAATAGAAACACTTATAAACATAGCACTGAGCACTTACCATTTCAGTGAGAGGGGTGAGCTTGTTTAGCAAAGCCTTGCAATACCAGGGATGAGGGCAGTGAGCTTCAAACACAGATCTGGCTCAGCATCCATTTTGCTGCGGTACTTTGTCTTGATTACAGTGAGAGCAGAGAAACCTTTCTCACAAAGGTAGGTTGTAGCAAAAGGCATCAAAAATTGTACAGCCTTTAATGAGAGGGCTGGGTATTCACTCTGTCTTTAGATTCCAGAAATGCAACAGTGACTGTTGTTTCAATTCTGACATCAGTCGCATCAGATAATAACTCGAGCAACTTCTCTTGCTCAGCACAGGAGAGATTCTTGGGTATTCCTTCAGCATCAACAGTAAAGGGGTTCCTGATCCACTCTGGTGTGGCCTCAACTGGAAAATACTCTGAGAACTGTTCTTTCAATGACAAGAGGTGCACTGCAATCACATCTCAAAAAGCAGAATCAAGTTCCACACCATATGTGTGCAGATGGTTCTCCAGAGTTGGAAAAGCAGACACTATACCTATGTCGATTTTATTAACAAAAAGTATTTTCTTCATAGCAGTGATCTTGTCAGACACATCAAAACTTGTTAAAGAGAGCCCCTGCAGTCCCATATTCAGCTCATTCAAACGTGTGAATATATCAGGCAGGTAGGCCAATTTTACCAGCCACACTGGATCATCAAATAGACTTGCCAAGGGAGATTGCTGGTCATGCAAAAACATCTGTACCTCAGAGTACAACTCAAAGAGCCTCGTGAGCACTCTGCCCCTTGATAACCATCTCACTTCAGTATGTAGCAAAAGCTGCACATGTTCGCTGCCCATTTCCTTACAAAGCACACTGAACAGACGTGAATTCATTGGTCGAGCCTTGATAAAATTCACAACTTTGACAACAGAGTCTAACACAGATTTCAAATCCTCAGCCATTTTCTTGGCTGCCAAGTCCTGCAGTTCTTGTTGGTAGGGGCTTGCAGAACAGAAAGTCCTCATGCGACATGCCCTCAAACTCATATCTAATATAAACAAGCAAATCAACCAAATTGACGACATCTACAGACTCATCTAATTGCAGTGAAAAGCATCTGCTCATTTTAACGCGCTCTATCAGTGTACTTTTGACATCGTCCACCATATCAATAATTCTACAAGTGACATGTCATTCGAAAGGGCCACCAGGTCGAGCTGTTTAGCAGCTTTTTCTCCACACATAATAAGTATCAGCTCTTTTACCAATGGTAAACAAAGTTCTTCACCGATAGTGTGGGGCTTACCTGCTTTAGCAATCTGCAAGCTTGCATAGTAAGATGCTTCTTGGGTTTTGGAAATTGGAGTGGCACGGTTCCTTATGATGGACTTGCGCTGCTTCAGATCTTTAAGTTTCCTTTGAAAAAAATCAACAGGCTTATCCTTCAAGGAAACTCTATCAGCTAGAAAAACACCTTAAATGTGAACCAAATGGAATGGGCTCTCTGTATCCAGCTCCACTGAGATGAGGGAGAGAGGCACTGGCAAGGGAGCAGCAAATTTAATTCCTGTATTTTTAATAAGCCTTGCCGCTACAGCACTTACAGTAAGAAGCTGCGAACATTCTCGAACCTGCTGGCTACCTCAGTGATCATCAGGATACCACTGCACAAAGAAGGGTGGTATGAAGTTAATGACAAAACAATGTTAGGCTGCCCACAGAAAACTAAGTTCTCGGAAAGGCAGACAAACTCCTTTGGCAGGTATTCTTAAACATTATACATAAGTTCTTCTTATATGTTTCAGAGGCTTTCAGTTGACAACCCTTATTTTTAATTGAATTGCCAATTCATCGATCAATGAAGTACTGACAAAACCTACCACACAAAAAGTTCACATTGTAATAGGACAGCTTTATCAGACCTAAAGTTTAAAAGAATAAAATAAACTTTCATTCTCTTGTACTAACATTCATTAAAGGGGAGGTTTTGATCATAAATATTTAAGAACACTGCTCTGTTTTCCTGAGAAATATAATTTGTGAAGGAATTCATCTGTAAGACACCTTTCTCCACCAGTTAACATAACCAGTTTGGGGCATAAATGTAAAAAGTATTTATAACAATGCCTTGCCAAAATATTCAGACCCTTTATACATTTTCTAATGTTGCTGGATTAAAAATGATAAATATTTTTTCCAATCAGTATTTTTATTGCAAACTCACATGCTCAGACATGAAAGACAAAATTAGTTATTTGTCTGCAAATATCTTTAAAAAGTGAAAAACTGAAATGTGCTGCTTGTATAAGAGCCACTTTTTCCACAATAACGGCTTCAAGTCTTTCATTGCAGGTGTCTACCAGCTTTACACTCTGGGTAGTGATGTTTGCCCATTGCTCTTGGCAGATTTTCTCCAGCTGATTCAAGTTTCTGGGAGAATGCTTGTGGACCACAACTTTCAAATCATGCCATAGATTCTCAACGGGGTTGAGGTCAGGTCTTTGACTGAGCTACTCAAGGTGATTCACCTTTTTATTCTTAAGTAACTCCAAATGGTGAATGGTGAATATCTACAAGTTTCAGTTTTTTAGCAGACTGCAACAAGTTTGCTTACATTATTTCCATGTTCTTTCCTCCATTTCTTTTTCTTTCAATTTTAAAAAGATTTCCAGTCCCTGTTAATGAGAAGCATCACCACAGGATGATCTGTCTTTGTCTCATCTTACTACAAAACCCTTTCCAAAATCTTAGCTGGATACGGATGTGATATCTGGCAAATTTCAGAGCGGTTTTGTGATAGTTCTTTTTTAATAACAGCTCCTTTATTGCGCCCTCTGATACAGGTCAGAGCTCTTGATTTTATTGTCCCCTGAGGGAATTTTTTATGGACACTCAGCACTCCTGTACATTTAAATAGAATGCAAACAGAGAAAAACATTGCACATTATTCTATTACAAAAAATAAGAAAAACATTGCACATGTGCAGTATAACACATAACATCATGTAACAAGTATAACACCACACAAAACATATTGCAGTCAAGTGGGTGGTAAGAGTCAAAATTGTGTTTGTCCTTGACATTTGCATTGACAGATTTAATGGATAGTGAAACAAAGGAATGTTTGCCAGAAGGAAGAAGTTGATATTCAGAGTTGTGGATGTGGGAAGGATCTGATATAATTTTTCCTGCCTGTTTGATTATGGATTTTTCACAGATTGTCTGCATGGAGGGATGCTGTTTCAATCCCATGACCTTCAAAGCTGTCTGGATGAGGCGGGTAATTTGTGATTTTAAATGAACTGATAGATTACCAAACCACAATGTAATACCATCTCTGATAATGCTCTCGATTACAGCACAGTAAAAGTACTCTTAAATTCTACTGCATTACTTTCTGTCTAACGCAAAACACTCTTAGTCTTCACAGGAAATATAAGCGCTGCTGGACTTGGGAGCAAACACTCTCAACATGAGTAGTCCAGCACAGGTTACTGTCTATGCGTACACCTAAGTTTATATGAGTCGATTTGAGTGATGCAGTTGACTGAAGCACCTTTACTTCACTCTCAGCCACTGAACTCTTTAGGTCTTCCAAACCAACCGGTGGCCTCTCGGTGGCTGAGAGTCTCCTTGTTTGGATGTTTAGTTTTGATGAACGGCCTTTTCTAGGCAGTGTCTGGGTGGTGTAATGCCATTCCACTTCCTGACTGAACCAGCAGTGCTTACTGGGATATCCAAACAGCCATTTTTGTGCCCCTTTTCCTAATCTATGCACTTTTTAACTTTAACTCCAACTTCCTTAGATGCCCTTTAGCCTTCATTTTTGTACCTTTCCTTCAGATTCACTGCCTGCCAATGATCCAGAAACAGACTGGGGTGACAGTCACTTCAAAGTTGCACAGGCAGAAGCCAGTGGTAACGCATCTATATCCTCATTAGTTTCTTGTGTAAACTTAGAGCTACTTTTGAACATTTTTAAAGAAAGAAAACACAATGTTTCGGCCATGGAGCCTTCTTCAGGTGTGAGAAAGACCTAAGGTAATAAGCAAAGGTAATGTAGTGGGAGAACAAAGGCTGGGAGAGAGGAGGAGTGAGAGGTGGGAGCAGGAGACAGAAAGAGAGGCCAATCAAGAGGTGTGAAGTCAGAATAGGTGCAGAGAGGTGTGAAATGAAACTTCCAATGAATGGAGAAAATTTAGAAGAAAAGTAGTCTGTCATTAAGAGAAGGGGGAAGGTGTGATCCGAGCTGCAGGATAATTTTGGATTCTGTAGTCTTTCTGATGTATGAG